TTTTTTGTAATGTCGATTACTTTCTTTGTGGCTTCCCAGTAAATCTTCTAGGGATAACTATGAATTGGTGTACAGCTCATTATATTTTATTTTTTTCATGTTGCGCTCCGGTTAGCCTTGTCGTCCCCCACCACACTGAGTGTTCTTGTCTGATGCATAGTTTTCTCTTGGGCCTACTCCCTAGAGTTGAAATGCACCAGAATGGTATTTTAATTTGCTCTTTGAAAAGGCTGGCCCTTTCCTGGAATTCCTCATAGAATTCCTGCGTAACAGTCATTTTGGACAGAGCCTACAGGTGGGTCAGGCCAAACCAAAATCCTTCTGCAGTTATCCCTGTTTTAATTCTCAAGGAATCCCTCAGAACGCAAGATTACCCTAGGAGTGAATAATGACTTCAAAAATGAAGGGTGACGTGTAAACCATAAAGTATTATTAATAGTAATAAAGCAATTAAGTCAATAAAATTAAGTGCCAAGAGAGGATCTTCTTTAACCTCATTAACCTAAACATCTAGAGAGCAATTTTACCTTTGTTAATTTGCTGCCAAAGCAGTCCGACACGAAATCACCCTGGATGTGTAGTCCAATTTGATGCTCTACTGAAGTTGGCAACCCTGTATGAAATAGTGCTCCTCCCACTTTTATGTTATTGTATGTGTGCTTTAGTTAGAGGTACTGTACTTGTGTTTTAAAATATGCTGATATGCTTCGGTTACTGCCATGTAATTCTCTTCTTTTATTCCCCCCCTGGGAAACGTGTTGTGCAGATAGGGTTTGTTCTTTCATGTTTTCTGTTAAGAAGTAAGAGCAAGAACAATCAAAGGAGAAGGGAGACAGATGTAGAGACTTAAAGAAAAAAGTTGAGGTGCTATGCTGAACTTTAAGGATCCCATTTCCCATCTACTGTGACACTGAAGTTGTAAAGTCATGGCTACAGGCTATTTCAGGATTACAAAATGGGCTGGACTTTGTACCCCTAAAACTCAGCTGTCCAGCTTTATTACTGCCCCTGCCTCTGCAGATATTTTCTTTGACAACAAATCCATTAGACCCTTTGTGCTTTGGCTATACATTATATATATATATATATATATATATATATATATATATATAAAATCTTCAAAAGATTCATGAAAAAAATATGTATGGATGTTTTCCACCCAAATAAATGCCTTTTACTTCTGTTGTCTACGAACTCTTTTGAAGATCTTTCAAATGAGCTATTAATTTAAATGTTAAAGGAAGACCATTGTCAACTATTTGTAGCTGCCTGATGATTTAAAAAGAACCCTTGAGACATCTTACTCATTGATTACTTGTTTGTGCACAATGAATAAATATAAATGTCGGAAAAAGGTGGTAGAGTTCCTTAGTGCTTCGTAGATCTCAGTTTCTGTGTTGCCAAGTACTTCCTGGCATTTTCATCGGTATTAATAGCAAAGCAAATTCCTACTGATTGGAAACAGAATAAACTATGTGGCACAGGATAGAATGAGAGGGAAATTGCCTAAAAGCCGGAGTTTAGAGTTTTCCCAGAGAATATACACTTTAAAATATGTACCTTTTTCCTCCAAACAGGGAAGGGGGAAAAAAAGATTACAAAGTAGTATTCAAAGTTAGTAAATTTAAGATACAATATCTAAGCAAATGCCAGATTATTCTTGATTTTAGATTTGGCATATACATTGCATTTCTTGTTCTCATTTTGCTGGAATAGTTTAGTTGTGTTACTTTTGGATAAAATCAAGTAGACAGACATTTTTCTCATTTCATACCGTCTAATTTTAAGCTGTGAGTTGATTAATTTTTAATTTTTATCCATCCAGCTTTCCTGTTGATATTGGAGTGCTCTGGTGGCTCATGTATCTCAAACGACTTATGGACCTGGCTGGTCACCCAGAAGCATGTGATGCCAATTTTCTTTTATGATGAGTTTGAGTTTCACAGTTGGGAGATAAATCCTAAGCCAACTATTTCAATTTGAATTGACCTACACGTGAAATATTGGGAAAATTGAGTGACAGTAGAAGATAAGGACTTAGAGGACAGAAGGAGTTAACTAAGAGTAGTTGAGAGAGTAGAGGTGGGCTTTCTGGCTGCTGTAGATCACTTCTGTTCACATCCCGGGTTAGTTCTCATTCCCACCCATAGTCTTGATCTTTGTAGTACAAGGGTTGGGAGGTGTAGGCCCTTGATGAGTGGTTTATGGCTTTTTCAGATTCATGCACAGCCACCCCTGCCTTTCCATGTCTAAGCCCCACTCCCTGGTTCCTGTCCGTAACTCTGCTCACTGAAGGTGCTGGTGGGGTTGGTGGTGGTAGAGGGTGAGTTTGTGCGTCAGAAAGAGTGTGGTGGTGGTGGTGGTGGAGATGGGGACACCTTCCACCCTGAAAGTGACGCTTTTGGTGATGACAGTTAATCTGAAGTCTCAGACAGACTACAAAGGCTGAGACAGGTTATGTTCCAGGAGCCGATGTGACCATGTCTCTCCCTTGAACTGGCCTTCTGGGTGGGGGTGGGGTGTGGGGGTGGGGTGTGGGGGTGGTAGAGTGGTTGTGGCAGGAATTACTTTCATCCAGCAGCGGTCACAGTAACAATGATGAACACTCTAAGTGCAGCCCTGTTCGAAGCCTCCTTAGTCCTTCCAGAATCCCTAAAGAGGCTGGCTATCTGTCTTACCCCTATTTTCCAGTTGAGAAACTGTCCCCTAAAGGTTAAGTCAGTTACAGCAGCCAGTAAGTGGCGACAACAGAATTGGGCCTCAGAGAGTGCTGTGGTAGGGGAAAACTGATAAATCAACGTTTTTATAAAACGTACTACAGTATTTGTGATTCATGAGAAGTTATCATGTAAACACTGACACCAGTGCTGCTTTTAATACCAAAGATACTCTGTTACCACCTGTCAACCAGTGTACCCGGGATTGGTGTCCTTTTTATCCTGGGATGAGGTGTGAGCTTGTGCCCGATGGCAAGAACCTGGTCCTCAAAGGCAGGGCATGTGAGAGGTTGCCTGTAGCCAATAGGTGAGACCAGCGGTGACCAGTCCACATGCAGAGGAAGCCCACTGAGTTGGGAACTGTCTCTTGCCTGTTTAAGCCAATCTTGGAACTTTTGAGACTTTTAAAGGCTAAAATAATAAAACCACTCAAGCTAGGAACTTGTACCATCTGATTGTTGCATTTCAATTTGGCCGGTTAGAGTGTCCTCCTCATTCCTGCTCAGTATGATTTCCTGCTGATAATCAAAGCTCTGGTTATTTTGTCAGTCCTGAGGCGATCTGAAGCTTGGTGGAAAGTCAAGAAAATGAGGCATGCATTTCCTTTAAGAACACAAATGCACCTGTGAAAAGTGTTGGGCAAATAACTTAAGCTAGATTTGCCTAAAATTTAATCAAAATCATGACAGGTTTGGAACCTCTAACAATATATAACAACGTAGCCCAAATAGGTTGAGGAACTAATTTTATGTTTAAAGGAGAAAAAAAGAAATAAAACATAAAAACTGCTCTTTGCTTAGGCAAGCACTTTCTGGTCCCAAAATCAGTAGAGGAAATCATAAAAGGAAAAGGTGAACAGATTTGAATTTTCTAAGTAGGAGTATAAAACCTCTTAAGAACAAAAATGTTCATTAAAACATTATTATGGGGGCTCACTCTGTGGTGCAGCTGGTTAAAGCCCTGGCCTGAAGCGCCGGCATCCCATATGGGCGCCAGTTCTAGTCTGCTCCTCTTCTGACCCAGCTCTCTGCTATGGTCTGGGATAGCAGTAGAAGATGGCCCAAGTCCTTGGGCCCCTGCATCCACATGGGAGTCCTGGAAGAAGCTCCTGGCTCCTGGCTTCGGATTGGCACAGCTTCGGCCATTGTGGCCTTTTAGGGAGTGAGCCAGTGGATGGAAGACCTCTCTCTCTGTCTTTACCTCTCTCTGTAACTCTGTCTTTCAAATAAATAAAATAAATCTTTAAAAATTATTATAAAAGTTAGACATGTTAAAAACATATAGCAGTAGAAGAAAGTACATGATGGGTCATTATATTTTTACTTTGGAAAAGTTGTAGGAAGAGGAAACGATGATGCAGATATTTAAGTAAGAATACTAGATATTAATCTACTTATACATCTCATATTGAAGAGTGTTTAAAATATACCTTATCTCAGGAGTGTCAATTGGTAAAGTCAACAACAGGAGTCACTGTGCACTTACTCCTCATGTAGGATCTCTGTCCTTAATGTGCTGTGCATTGAAATTTAATGCTATAACGAGTACTCAAACAGTATATTTCACTTTGTGTTTCTATGGGGGTGCAAACTGTTGAAATCTTTACTTAATGCATACTAAACTGATCCTCTGTAAAAAAAAAAAAAAAGAAAAGAAAAAACTATCAACTCCCAACTTGACTCTCACTGGGATTAAGCATGACAATAGGTCTGATCTGATTTCATCATCATTAAAAAAAAATCATCTATTATTTTTCACTTTATGTTTCTGTGTGGGAGCAAACTGTTGAAATCCTTACTTAATGTATACTAAGCTGATCTTCTGTATATTAAGATAATCGAAAATGAATCTTGATGTGAATGGAAGGGGAGAGGGAGTGGGAAAGGGGAGGGTTGTGGGTGGGAGGGACGGTATGGGGGGGAAGCCATTGTAATCCATTATTCGTACTTTGGAAACTTATATTCATTAAATAAATAAAAAAAAAGATATAAAAATATCAGATAGAAGGAATAAATTAAAGAGATCTACTATAAATCATAGTGACTATAGTTAATAGCAATATATTATATAATGGAAACTATCTAAGTAGATTTTAAGTCTTTTTACCACAAACATATAAGTACATGAGATATTATATTTGTTAAATAGCTTGGTTAAACCATTTGATAATGTTTACATATATCAAAATATCATGTTGTAGACCATAAATACTTGTATATACAATTTTTACTTGTCTATTAAAAATAAATTTAAGAAATTAAAAAAAAAATATACCTTATCTAGGGGCTGGCGCTGTGGCGCAGTGGGTTAATGCCCTGGCCTGAAGCGCGGCATCCCATATGGACGCTGGTTCGAGTCCCAGCTGCTCTACTTCTGATCCAGCTCTCTGCTATGGACTGAGAAAGCAGTAGAGGATGGCCCAAGTCCTTGGGCCCCTGTACCCGTGTGGGAGATCCGGAAGAAGCTCCTGGCTCCTGGCTTCAGAACGTCACTGTTCCAGCCATTGCGGTCAACTGGGGAGTAAACCAGGAAGACCTCTCTCTCTCTCTCTGCCTTTCCTTTCTCTGTATAACTCTGACTTTCAAATAAATAAATAAATCTTTAAAAAATATACCTTATCTAAGTGAATTTTATATGTGGGGAGAATGCAGAAAGTGTGATTACTAGAAGTTAATAGGGATTTAGGGACTAATTTTTTAAGAAGATGTATTTATTTATTTGAAAGAGTTTACAGAGAAAGAGAGAGAGGGAGATAGAGAGAATCTTCCCTCATCCACTGGTTCAAATGGCCACAGTGGCCTGAGCTGGGCTGGTCCGCAGCCAGGAGCCAAGAGATTCTTCTGTGTCTCCCATGTGGATGACAGGGACCCAAGCACTTGGGCCATCTTCTCCTGCTTTCTCAGACATGTTAACAGGTAGCTGGATTGGAAGTGGAACAACGAGGACTGGAACTGGTACCCATACAGGATGCTGGGGTCACAGGTGGCAACTCAGCCTGCTACAACTCGGCACTGGCCCGGATTTAGAGACCATTTGAAGTAGGAGTTTAGATGGTTTATGTTTTTTCTTATACTTCATGCATATTAATATTTTATTTTTTAAGATTTATTTATTTATTTGAAAGAGTTACACAGAGAGAGGAGAGTCAGAGAGAGAGAGAGAGGTCTTCCATCTGATGGTTCACTCCCCAGTTGGCCACAATGGCTAGAGCTGCACTGATCCGAAGCCAGGAGCCAGGAGCTTCTTCAGGGTCTCCCACTCAGGTGCAGGAGTCCAAGGACTTGGGCCATCTTCTACTGCTTTCTCAGGCCATAGCAGGGAGCTGGATCAGAAGTGGAGCAGCCAGGACTCAAACCGGCGCCCATATAGGATGCCATCACCGCAGGCAGCGGCTTTATCTGCTACGCCACAGCACCGGCCCCATGGCTACTTTTTATAGTGTTTCATTCTGTCCATTTTAGCACACCTTAGTAATGAGGAATCAGTTCCTATTTCCATTTGTCTTAGATTGGTAAATGTCAAAAAGTGACATCATTTAACTCTTTGTAAAGAAATCTGAGAAGGAGGCAGAAGGCTGATTACTGCTTCTCGGGAAAACTTGCATGAATGTTTTGTTCTTGGGTGCAGGCTGGTTTCCATGTTTGTTCTAGAAAACAGTTGCCACATACAGTTACTGAAGAAAATTTGATGCTGAACTGTGGAATTGTTAAAAAAAAAATATTTCTGTGAAAGGAAGAGACAGAGAGAGTGAGAGAGAGCTGTCCCATCCACTGGTTCATCCCCCACATGCCCATACACCCAGAGCCGGGCCAGGACAAAGCTGAGAGTGTGGAGCTCAATCCTGGTGTCTCATGTAGGTAACAGGGACCCAAGCACTTGACCATCACCTTCTGCCTCCAGGGTGCACATTGGCCGGAAGCTGAAGTTAGAGCGGAGCCAGGTCTTAAACTCAGGAACTCTGACATAGGATATGGGAATCCCAAATGGTGTCTGTTTGTTTTTTTTTGTTTTTTGTTTTGTTTTGTTTTTTGACAGGCAGAGTGGACAGTGAGAGAGAGAGACAAAGGTTTTCCTTTACCGTTGGTTCACCCTCCAGTGGCCGCCGAGGCTGGTGCGCTGTGGCCGGCACACGACGCCGATCCGAAGCCAGGAGCCAGGTGCTTCTCCTGGTCTCCCATGCGGGTGCAGAGCCCAAGGACTTGGGCCGTCCTCCACTGCACTCCCGGGCCACAGCAGAGAGCTGAACTGGAAGAGCGGCAACCGGGACAGAATCTGGCACCCTGACCGGGACTAGAACCCGGTGTGCTGGTGCCTCAGGAGGAGGATTAGCCTATTGAGCCACGGCACCGGCCCCAAATGGTGTCTTAATTGCTGTGTCAAATGCTCACCCTGAAAATTGTTTTTAACAGCTATTTTGATATTATACATTTTATATATTATAGAGTTAATTCATTTAAAGTATACAATTCCAGGGATATTTAGTATTTTTAGAGTTATGTGACTATTACCATAATCCAGTTTGGAACATTTTAATCATTTCAAAAAAGAAACTTTATACCCCTGTCCCTGCCCCTCCACCCCAATTTTCCCTCCCAGTTCTAGGAAGACGCTATTCTAATTCTTGTGATTCTAGGTTTGCCCTCTCAAAGACCACTTAGGCAAGCAAAATCTTGTTGCTGTAGATCCCTTCTCAGTAGTGGTCCACAGTGAGAGATTAAGATCAAATGAACTCAGTAAGTGTTATTTCCTATTTTATTAGAATAAGTGACTTATTTTTATCTTCTGGAGTTCTAACTTTTTAACTATTCAAAGTTTTTAAAGTGTCAGGGAGTGTATACCCATTAATGTGAGATTATTGTGGACTATGTTCTGTTGCTGATTAGTCATGACCGTCACTAAATTATTTTCCTCCTCAGTTTCCTTGTCTGTAAAATGAGAATGGTAATATCAGTAGGACCTTTGAGGACTCTTAAAGAACTAAATGAAGCAATGTATATAAAACCTGCCACACTGCCTGATGCATTACAAGAATTAAATGAATATTAGCTGTTGTTAGTCATTGAAAATAAACTGTGATGCGTTATTTTTTACTGAGTTTATTTATGCTCTTCTAAAAATTTGGGTTGGCTTACGAGAATATTTGCACGTTGTGCTTAGCATCTAGCATCAAAGGTTAAGACACTGGTGGAGACTCCCGCGTTCCCCATCTGAGTGCCTGGGTTTGAGTCCCGGCTCTGCTCCAGATTTCAGCTTCCTAGAATGCCCACCCTGAGGGCCAGCAGGCGATGGCTCAAGTAGTTTAGTCCACGTTCTCCATATGGGAGATCTGCATTGAGTTCTTTTTTTAAAAAAAAGATTTATTTATTTATTTGCAAGTCAGAGTTATCCAGAGAGAGGAGAGGTAGAGAGAAAGAGAGAGAGAGAGGTCTTCCATTTGATGGTTCGCTCCCTAATTGGCCACAATGGCCAGAGCTGCACCAATCTGAAGCCAGGAGCCAGGACCTTCCTCCAGGTCTCCCACATGGGTGCAGGGCCTCAAGAACTTGGGCCCTCTTCCACTGCTTTCCAAGGCCACAGCAGAGAGCTGGATCAGAAGTGGAGTAGCCGGGACTAGGACCGGTGCCCATATGGGGTGCCGGCGCTTCAGGCCAGGGCGTTAACCCACTGCACCACTGCGCCAGCCCCATGCATTGAGTTCTTGGCTCTCAGTTCTGGCCTGGCTCAGCCCAGGCTGTTGCAGGCATTTGGTATTTGGGAAGTAAACCAGCAAATGGGAGCTGTGTCTCTTTCTCCCTTTCTCTCTCTCCTCTCTCTCAAATAAATATAATAAATAAATAAAATTTTAAAAAGATAAAATCATTTAAAAAATACTTGCACACCTAACCATTCACACAGACAGGAATAAAACCAGAGATCAGGGATGATAGTATCAGGAGAAATAAAAACAGGAGTAGTAGTAGCTAGCATTTATATAGCAGGTTTCAATGAGCGTTATCTTAGTGGCTTTCCTTGTAAGCAAAGGGAATCATGCCAGACCAGAAATGAGTGAAGGCAACTAGATGAGAGCCCCAGACTGGAGGGAACTTGATCTCCACCCTCACACCTCTGCATGAGACTTCTGAGACACGGTAGCGTGGGGGTGTTGGTGGGGGTTGTTAGTCTAAAGGTGAGTTCAGCGTCCCACAATACATACAGCAACTGTTAATTTATATTGGAAGTGCTTACTGTGAGATACGCTGATATCAGAACCAAAACTGATCCCAAAGCAATGTAATTGAAGTATAAAATTCCCTACTCAAAGCATCCAATTTCCTTGGTGATCATTCTCTTTTTTTTGAATGCTCTTACAGCTATTAAACTGAAAGGTAACTCTTACAGGTACGCCCACTCTGCCCTGGGCCTTGATGCTCATCATACCTTCTGCATAGGGAAGCAAGCACCTAATCAGCTTGTCCCCCAGATAATGATCATGGCCCTCACTTTGTCTTACTTTGTTGCTCAAGCAACCAGGGCCACATTTATTGTTCTTTAACGTAGTCCAGCATCCCACACCTGTCCTTTGTTACTGGACTGGGCTTTCCATTCAGGTACGCTCAGTGAGCTCTTAAATGGTCAAGATTCCTTCCCAAGGTGGCTTTGCGATGCCTGACTGAGCACTTCCTGCCACACATGTGTTCACACTTGGAATCCACCATCTCCTCTCCTGGACTGTGCCCCTGAAGGAGGGCCATAATACCTTTGTGTTCCCAAGCCCCGGCTCCTACCAGTGCCTGACACCTGGGATCTCTCAGCACAGCAGAAGGGAGAATGTTGATCTTTCTTCGTATGGATACTTGACTATATCTGGTTTTGGGAAGGTAGCAATTATAAGGATTTTTTTAATACAAAATATGAAGGCAAACCTTGGTTAACTGAGAAGAGAAGTGGATAACCAAAAAGCTTGTGCTTCTCATAGTCCAACAGTAGTGTCATGTGGGGAGCAAGACTGTGTGGCCTTCCATTCAGTGACCGTGCCTTTGATTTTGACTTGGTAAAAGTACCCACTAGGATCTTGATGGAAACAACTGCCTGTTGGGCAAGGCTGATACCTACCACCTTTGCTAAGATAGATTTGGATGAAATTGTGGGGAGCAATCCGGACTGGACTAAGTTACTGGAATTAAGACTTATTCTGTGCATCTGCTCTCCCACAATATGGCGCTGGGAGAGAAGTAAACAGCTTCCGCACAGCTGCCTCCAGTTCAACCAATAAACTGTAGGACTTGCTCCTGATTGGAGAGCAGCGTACTCGGCGTGTGGGCAGCCGAGTTGGGATTGGCGGAGGAGGACTATAAAGGAGGAGAGAGACGGCATGCACCGGGGAACATCTATGGGGAACATCTAAGGGGAACATCTGAAGGAACACCTGAGCAGCCCCCCGAGAGAGCCGGCCGGCGGTGTGCCGCTCCCCTGCGGAAGTGGGGAATGTGGCCAGGGGGAACTGCCCTTCCACGGAGGTGGAAGGGATAGTAGCCAACCCGGGAAGAACCAGCAGCAAACCCGGGGAGGGCCGAGCAGACGAAAGAACAGCGCAGGGTTTAGTGTTGCTCCTCCACGAAGAGGGGGAGCGAC